CTGCGGCAAAACACCTTCTCCACCAACCAACCAACCAACCAACCAACCAACCAGCCAACAAGAACAGGAACCAAAACAAGCGACGAAGCAACAAGGTTTGCAAGGATTGGCGTCAAACAACAACGAAAGAACCTGTATTTACCACTTGTCCATTTATGGCGTTCATGGGGCCTTTCATTGGATTTGCAATCATGCCGAGTTGCAACGCAGCCAATCAGTGGACACCAACGCATGACCCAGGCAATACGTGGTCTGTCAGAGGGTGCCAGCGGTCGACGAAGGCCAATTTCCAACTCTGCACGGCAAACCACGTAATTGAGGGCAGGGTGCGCCAAGTAGTTGAAGACCCAATTTTGATGGAAGCCCTTCTCTGGTGCAGTGAGTGGCAGGAAAAGGACGGAAAATGACAGCATCGGCAGAAGGACAATAATACTCATCAAGAGCTTCACCGAAGTCGTCCTACGCCAAGCTGAACTTGGACCATCAATACAGTGGTCCTCCAAATACATTTGCATCGAAGGCTCGACCTGGGTGATGCAAATGTACTCCCAAACTCGTGTTTCCAGCTGGTTCATTTGGTTTTGATCCGTTTTGGGGTTTGCTCCATCTCCTGTGAAGTGGCGCCGCTTTATCGGCAGGATAAGGCGGGGTCCAGTTTGAAGAATGGAACTTGTGCACCAAAGTGAGGAAGCGAGCCAAGGACCATCAAGGACGCTCCTAGAATGAATACGAGCGGGAACTCTAACATAAGGAGGGATATCATTCATGCCAGGCAGCTCCTTCTTGAAAACCTATCCTTTCCGAAGAATCTCCTTGGCTCTTCTTCAGCGTCTTTGAAACTGCATAGGTGCTGGTCCGGATCCTCAGTTCACCCCATTGAAACATGAACATCCTGAACAAGTCCATATTCTGTATATATATATATAGTCCATGCATGCCTTGATGGATGTGGCCCACACCCATTTTTTCTAAGGCGGCCCCCAATCGTCAACAGCAATGTGAAGAGCTGAAAGTGGAGTGCTAGCCAAAGGCACTATGCTAGCTGAAGGTGTTGCCAACTCCTGTTTTCCATATGTCACCGGCAAACAATCACAACACCACCCCAAGAAAAGCCTGTTTTTCATGTCAACGTTAACAAATGTTGAGCCGGAGGAAGCTAGTGCCTTCAATCAAAAGGGAGCGGATCCAAAATATCCATCAAATCTTGGAAAATGACAGGAAAACAGGAAAGGACCCTTTGTCAAATGAGCAGTTAGCATGTACAAACCGAATCCCACAAACTGCTTGAATGCAAGTCAAAAGTCTGCGAGTTTTTGCTGATTTGCCGCTGCCCTGGAGTGTCCACAACCGAACCTGCTCCATACGAGGGCATGAGGCCGCTAATGCTCAATCGACAATTGGCAGCTCCAGGCTCGTGCATTTGCGGAGCGGAGATCCTGCGGTCTTCCACATCATCGCGTTCGCTCTGATGTTGCGACGCATGGTCGGGTACCTTCTCTTTTTCTGAATTTTCCTCTTGGACGTCACATTCTTCTGAGATCTTCACCATCAAACAGCCGGGGATGGAAATGTTGTCCTCACCCATCAGGATCTTGTCTGGTTGATCTGCCAACTGATTGCTGCCATAGACTTGCGGCATCAAATTGGCCAAATCAGATTCGGACAGTCTTCGAACTTCGCAATCCCCTTCCAACGGACTTGTAGGTGGGGAAGTCGAAGGCCTCGCTGGAGTTGAAGGTGCCGAGGCGCTGCTCAAATACATCGGATTCGGCACGCCGACGTTGAACCTGGCGACAGCAGTGATTTGGAGAGATTGAAAACAGGCCTTATTGTAAGTTCATTCCAACCTGAAGAATCCAGCACTCGGAACATTTACAATGAATGACCTCGGCCGTGCATCATCATCAAGCACCCCAGCTGGCTGCAATTCCTTCTGTGGTGCCTTAGGCACGACGGCAAGGAAGTCCGCCATGACCACATGATCAATGATCCAAGGGAACCCTGAGCCAAATTGACGGAAAATTCTCGATCGCGCCCTTTGACATCCCCACACAGACTGCCAGTGAAGCTGTATCTGACCAACATTTTTTGCTGCTAGCTAATACCTACCAAGCTCAAACACCATGACACACAACGTACAACTAAGAAAATCCTTCACTAACATGAATTTGTTGCCTCCAAAAAACAACATCTTTTCTTCCGCGGTTTGCAGAATAACAAGTCATGAAACATCGCCAGGGTGACACGTCGCCTTCACTGAACCCATGACCGTAGTTGATTTCAGTGCCCCATGCCATATAACTTCCTGGAAAACCCTAACCTAAACATGCCTACACACCGCCTTGCCCGGCAGGTGCGACAGCGGTTTCCAGCACATTAGACAAATTCCTGGGCCAACGCATGCCGAAGCGATGATTTCACAAACCGCACGGTTTTAGGAACATAGACCAGCATCAACATATCCAATGGTCCAAGGTGTGGACAAGATCCAAGGACATTTTCTGCATGATATGAGGACATATAGATGTTTTTTCAATTGGCCAAGGTATATCTCGACCCGTCCTTGGAAATTACTGCACGCGACACCTACTATAGTGTTGGGATCCCCTCCATGCAAAGGGTCTCTTTCTTCACTTCCAGTTGCATCCATAGATACCTGGTGTCAATGTGGTTCAGTCGTCCTACTCCCAACCGTTCACTGAAAGCTCGACATGAGCTGCTGTCGGTGGCCTTGATCAGCACGGGCCTGTTGCTCAAAAAGGTCCACATGTCCTTCACTTGCAAAGCCTCCTGCCGCTGCCAGAAATTCTGCCACGCAGGAACTCAAGGCAATGCTCTTTTGAGAGCGAGACCAGCGTGTGATGAGGCATCCAGTCCAAAAAGTGAATGTGGAGCTTTTGCACTGCTTTGATCACCATTCCAATCACTATCTGACAGGCTTTCCAGCAAATCCGGGCCACTCAACTCCTCCACCTGTCCTTACTCCGGCACTTCTGGTATGGTAGGAGGAGTCCATACCCTTCAGTTCTCTTCAGGTGCAGGTGCAGGATCAAATGTTTCACCTCCGCCATGGACTGGCTAAGGTTCCTCACACTGTGTTGGATGTCAATCCTGTCCTGGCTGATGTAGAGCAATGTTCCAAGCGCCGACCTGAACTTGAACAGGTCTTCTCCTTGTAGGCAATCTTCAGGAGGTCCTTCTAAGCTCACCTGGGTGCTCTCAGGTGTTGCGCGGCCAACTCTATGATCCAACTTGTACAGCCTTATCAGGCTTGGGATGTACTTCTCATGGGGCATGATGACAATTCCAGGGCCGTGAAGTAATGTCTCTTCTTCAAGCACCGAATCGGCTCATCCTCCGCCTGATCATCCTTTGGGAGAATGCCTGACTCACTCAGGACAAACTTGCTCCTCATCGATTCCAGCAACCACTCAACTGCCACAATCCAATCGTCAACATGACAAACAGCATGCAGCTAGGGGTTTCTCCTCATGTCTGAATACGGAGGGCAAACTCAAATGACGATGGAAACTAAGGTCCTTCACATGAAAGCTCAGGTGGTCACACCACCTTGCCGCAGCATCGCGTTGTCCTGGAAGACACTTGAGAAGCGTCCAACGTCGTTTCTTGGATAGAGCTTCTCCATCTCCTCAGGGTTCCACCAAGGAGGTTTCTCTCTCAACCAAAACCAACTTCACTTGGTCTACCAGGAGGAAGGCATCTTTCACGTCAATGAGGGTCAACCTCCACCACAACAGGGTGTGAGCTGCCATCAACAATCTTGTAGCATTCACCGAGGATGTTGGAGCGAATGTCTTCGAGTTCGAGCTGTCTCCTGCTCTGAATTGACGGGCCACAAACCGGCACCTCCTCTTCCACTTGGTGCTACATCGACAACCGGAGGCTCAAATGACCCTGTTTGTTGCTCATGCATGTATCCAGACCGTGTGCCATCGGGGTTGAAGTGCCACAGTTTGACGTTCAGAAGCATCCCACATAATAGGTCCCTCAGTGGTCGTGCAAGGAGGTCTCTGGAGTAGCACGCCAGGGGCTTGTCCTTGATGGCATGGTGTCTCAACATAGATCTGCTGGTGTCATCTATGCCATATCGAGCACACAATTAATGTCGTGGACTTCAAGCTGCGAGAAGTTGTTGCGGCCTCGCTGTCACTGACTCCCAAGAAGCCATTGATCATGGAGGATACCTCGTCGGCGCTCAACGGCCTGTTGGTGAATCCTCCAAGAGGTGGGTGCACGACAGGTGGATCCAAAAGGTTCACTCACGTCCATGAAGGAGATCGAGCTGAGTCTTCCAAGCCAAAGCCCAGCAGCCTGGTCCACTCCTTCAATCGGTGCCACAAATGGCAGGTATGCTTTCTTCTCAGCACTGCTTGACGTCTTGTGGATTCTTGTTCTACCTTCCACGAAGCCACAGGGGCCGTCTCCTGTATCGATCACATCATAAAAGAAGCTTTGCATGGAAGCCAGATCTGCAAACCTCGCTCCTGAGCACAACTGCAAAGAGTATCCAGCCAAGTTGCATCCAGCCAAGTCTCGGTCAAGAACCTTCTTGGCGCATGCCACAGTCTCCAACTTCTTCACCTCTTCTACCGTTGGTTGGGTCTCAAGCTTGTTCAGTATAGGGTCTCTTGTCGAAAGCACCCTCAGGACTCGGCCTTGCAGCAGCGGTCCCACGACAATCTCGACATTGAGGTTGGCTCTCATGACGAACCTGAAAGACTTAAGGGCGTGCACCAGGCTCTTTCCAATGAACAATTGCTTCGGCCATCACGCTCGCATCGTTCAAGATAGTCCAGCAAGTCTTCCCCTTGCAAGGGCCACTTGGTGTGAAGTCCTCTCGCACCAGTTGACCGCCAACGCGCCAAGGCTCTCGTCCACTTCAGCTCTTGCGCCTTCTTGCAGTCGGAGTCGCACAGGGTCGTCACATGCTTGGCAAACATTGGAAGATCCTCGCTGGACCAACCTGGAGGGGCACCTCCATCCTCTTTCTCAGCATCCGGTTGAGGGATGACAGGAAACGCAGGTTGCGGGATCATGTCTGTACCCACTGGCAATCCCAGCGCATCTCCATCTTCAAAGATCTGCCCAAACGCACCTTCCTCCCATGGAAGCTTTGGGATTCCCGCATCGATGCTCATCAGGTTGTTCTCGAAAATCACCCGGTCGAAGTGTGTCTGCGCCATGCTTCCGAAGCTGTCCTTGAACTCAGGGATGAAGAGCCAATGTACGCCACTCGAAGAAGCAGCTCCAACATCATCAACCATGGCCCCCCCTCCAAAATTGGACAACAAGAAAGCGGTTACCCACCCTCCACTCCCTTGAAAGAAAGGAACTGCGAGGAACACAAAGGATCAAGCACGACGACCGAATGCATGCAAGCTTGTTTTCCAGACACATGTAAAACAAGAAGGCTCATTGCCCATATAAATTAAATAGTTCGTTTGTCTTCGCGAACTGCCTACATAAAGACAGTATCTTCATAGTACACTTATTTCGTTCAATATTTCTATGGCGCCGCGGCGCCGCATAAATACCGGCAAATTAAATTCAAATTGTTCGGACCCTGGAATGGACCAACAAATATTTGTTTTGTGATTTAAAAGCCTATCACCGCCCCCAGTCTGAGGCTGAACACCTTTTGTCTCCAAAGTCTTCCATTCTCAGGGCCACCGCCCCTACTCAGTCTGCAATCAGTGCATGGAATGTGGAAGAGTCGAAATGCTGACACCAGCTATTGTCTTGCTTTGCAAGAAACTGCAAAAGAGAGACCTTGTGACCGAAGGAAGTCCAACAATATCAACAAATCATAATACCTACGGTCCACGGGAATTGGTTATCTGAACTCAAAGTTGCTCCTCTTGCTGCAAAGGCCTCCAGGCTATCATGGAATATGTCCCTCTTAGTTGCAACAAACCTAACTCCAAACAACTTGAGAACTTGCCAAGCACTTGACACCTTGATCCAATGAATTACCCTTGCCCCTATTTACCCACGCTTTACAAATGGAAAAATCAACTCCGAAGATCAAAGTCTGGAAGGGCTAGGAAAGTCAATATTCTTGAGGCTCTCTCAAGTTGTTGGAACCTAAATGTCGAGACAATATTCCAACATCGCGCCAAAGTGCACCAAACTCTTGGTGGCATCCATGCAGAGTTTTTTTGCCATCCGCAACACATGCGCCTTTCCCAACTTCCAAAAACACGCAAAAACAACAAGTGTATGTACTTCGGAAGTCTGCCCTGCATCATGCCACATGGGTGTCTCATAACAAAACTGAAGGAGACCCTGGAATGTGCCACCCATGTGCCTTTCTGAAAACCAACCTCTAGCTGCTACTAGTTAGAGGCCTTGGCCGGCCATTCTCAGGGTCACTGTCTCGAGAATAAAGTTCTAATCAAGTCAAGGTCGTGACCACCATGACTGATGAGCACCGTCAGCCAAGCTACACAACCAGTGCCCAAACCAAAAACCCAATACGAATAGTTCTCCAGCAGGACGATTCCTCCACGCATCGCTGCAAAGGAACAAGTGAACACGGCGCTTGTGTCAGACCCTTGGTTGTGATTCGACCTCATGTCCTTCTTGTCACCATGAATCAAGCGGCCCAAATCTGCTTTAATATTAATTCGAGTCCCTGATCTGAAAAAGCACGGACTGAAGATTCCTGAAGTCCTTGTCCTCCTTCTGGGTGAACATGGCACTGGATCATTTTGGAACCCAGAAACGGATCATTTTGGAACACAGATCGTTTTGGAGCACAGAGGAAAAGAAAAGCTCTCCAGGACTACAGTCTGACACCAGTTTCGCGGATCATTTTGGAACACACATCCTTCGGCAGTGCTTCGAAGGCATCATTTGCTATGAAAATAAGTGTTTTTCGAACGAGACTTCCTCCAAAAAATGAGCCGCGCAAGTCTCCAGAACGAGCATTCCGTACGAGACTTCCTCCAAAAGTGAGCCGCGCAAGTCTCCAGAACGAGCGTTTCGAGACTTCCTCCAAAAGTAAGCCATTGGGTTTCTTTTGGTATGCCTTAGGGCCTTGCTTCTTTA